TGTTGAAGGCCGGCCGATGAGATCCGAGGATGCCGAAACTATCGGCAAGTTTTTACTCGAGGATGTAATCTGTCGTTGGGGATGTCCTGAATGGATTGTAACTGATAATGCCAAGCAGTTCATTGCCGCGCTAAAATGGTTAAACTCGAAGTACGGGGTAGTTGGAATTAAAATCTCGGCTTACAATTCCCAGGCGAACGGAACTGTGGAAAGAGGGCACTGGGATATCCGGCAATCATTGTACAAGGCAACCGGCGGTGATGTTAAGAAATGGTATTGGTTCTTCCCTCAGGTATTATGGGCAGACCGTATAACTGTAAGAAGAGGAATGGGGTGTTCTCCATTCTTCGCAGTATGTGGTGCCCATCCAATATTACCTTTGGACATCGAGGAAGCAACCTGGTTGGTAGAATACCCAGGCGCGCCAATTTCCACCGCTGAACTAATTGGTTTGAGGGCTAAGGCACTCGCCAAGCATTCAGTACATGTGGAGGAAATGCGTGAACGAGTTAGTGAGGAGAAACGGAAGATGGTCAAAAAGTACGAGGAGGAAAATCGCGGGAAGATAAAAGATTATAACTTCCAACCAGGCGATCTGGTCCTAGTCAGGAACACAACTACTGAGAAGTCGCTGAACAGGAAAATGCACCCTCGATACTTAGGACCCATGATAGTAGTTAGACGTGCCAAAGGCGGTGCATATATATGTTGCGAACTGGACGGTTCAGTCTTCCAAGGCAAAATAGCTCAATTCCGAGTGATACCTTTTGAACAAAGAGAGAAACTCGAGCTGCCAGGAACTATCCTAGACTTAATCGACTTGTCTCCGCAAAAACTTGACGAACTGGCTGCGATGAAGGACTCAGATGAATATTCGGGTCAAGATTTACAGTTCCGTAAAGTTCACGTTAAGTCAAGGATGGAGCTACAGGACGAAGACGATGGGGAAGAACAGGAAGATGAATTCGAGGAAGACCAAGTCGAGGAACTGGACTTAGACGAGATTCGAAAGGAAGTCTCGTACGAAGATCAGCCTCGTCGGTCATCTCGGAGAAAGGTTCAACCGTGAGATAACTTAGCGGTGATTGCCGAGAACGGTTCAAACGCAAAGTACCGCGGTAAAGACATATATTGCATAGGGCATAAGGCATAAAGGGATGAAACAGAGGTGAAAGAGTGTGCGTATCACGAGTTGGGCGTATCAAAGGGGATAGGACTGCTCGAGGAGGTCAAGTAAAGACAGTAATAGGAGTTGGGCGAAGGGTTTGCATAGGTAAACTCGAGGCGTCTAAAATAAATTACTAGCAAAAAGCAAGGTGATGGCGAGATGTGTCACAATGAGGACAATGAGTAGTCTTGGAAGTACGACGATGGGTGCGATTGGGGGACTCGATGCTAATTCGAAAGAACTAGAATCAGCTGCAAATCGCAGAAAAGCTAAAGCCCGAATAATAAACGAACTTTGGGTTCTGAGGACGTTCGAGGATCTCAAGTCGAGGGGGCTTTGGCGGAGCGGTCGTGTTGAAGGTCAAGAACTCGTTTGAGCTCATCGACGAGGAGCTGTCGGTGATTGAGAGTGTATCGAAGTTGCGAGTTGGCAAATCCAATCCGGCTCCTGAGGTCCGCCTCCTGTAGTCGAAGGGATCCAAGGTTATCATCAGAGGAGCTGGCTTCAACGAGCTTAGTAGCTTCGGCAACAGTTTTCTGGACTGCTTCGCCGTTAGTGGCGAGCTCGGTCGCTAAATAATAAATAAGCGCGACTTAAATCTGGGTAAGATGATAACGCACCGGTATACTGTTCTGCGGAATCCTCATAGGCAAAGTTGGACGGCCGCGATCGCTTGCGAGGTGGTGGGACCGGGAAGTCCTCGTGAACGGGTCCAGATACTGAGTCGGGGTCAGTACGGGCAAGAACAGCCATGGCCTTGAGATAAGGGGGAGCCCTTCGGTCAAAACCCTTCATTCTTAAAAATGAGAGGCGTACCGAGGAAGGGCGCGCACTACTCGACTGAGAGGCACGCTGTCCCGACGAATTAATCGAGCAAATTGCCCGAGGATTTTCAAAGTTTGGAGAGGGTTGCTCACATGAGGACGCTCGTCCAAAGACTGAGTCGAGCGAGAACCAGGCGCAGTAGCCTCGACCTGGAAAGCGCGAAGAGCATCGCAGAGTTGGTCAATAACCTCGAGTCGAGAGGCGAGACCTAGGTACATACCGGCTCAGTATCGACAATCATGACATCGTCGAGCTCACCGGTAGGGAGAGGAAGTTCGGAATCGTCGAAGGGAGAATCGTTGGGATCCTCAACGGTTGCTTTCGACTTCTTCGCCTTTGCCTGAATTATTAGACAAAACGCGACAAGAATTAATTCGGAACTCACCTTCCCCTTGCCTTTGCCTTTCTTAGAGGACTTAGCCTCTAATTCCTCAGCGACAGCGCGCGCTTCCTCGAGCTCAGTACGATGAGCTTGTTGACTAGAGGTTGTGCCGGAACGAAGATGGTCGTGTTCGTACTTGATGCGAGCGCAGAGGTCGAAGATGACGGGGTAGCGGCCACCGATGGCACCGTTGGGATTGGTAGCGGACTGGTGGTAACTGTTCTTGACGGCGAAGTAGGTGTCGTAGAGCGGTTTTTCCTTGGCAATCTCAGGAAGGAGAGCCGACATACTATCCTGAAGAATAATTGAATCAGCAACAATGCGAATCCTAGGATGTAAGCAAACGCACCAAGAGGACGGTTTGCTGGTCCAGGAAGGCGCGCTGCTTGGTACGATCAGGGTAGCGAGTCGCGGCAACCTTGTCCCCAATTGAAATAAGGGTTTCATATTGAGCGGTGGTGAGGTGAGCGCGAATAGATGGAGACATTGTTAAAGCAACTAGAGAAGGATAGTCGTCGAAAAGACTGGTGAAAGGTCGAAAGAACTCGAACTCTTTATAGGAAGGAGCGGGTGCCATACGTGTTAACTGAGGACAGTTAAAATTTATGAAATGGGGAGGGGACTAGTAAATCGCGTCAAAGTCAGGCGAGACTTCATTGGTTATTCTCTAGACACGTAAGAAGACGTGGCACGAAGCCTATGGATACAGAGTCGAGATTCGACTCGCGCGTAATTACTGGGTTCCTGAGAAACGTGACCGCGATCAAAAGTCACGAGTTTCCTTTGCCTACGCGGAAGAATATACCGCCTAAGGGAAGAAAACGTGATACATCAAGGATCTCGCGTGACTTAAGCCCAGGACACGCAATCTGGACATCGGTTGTCGTAGATTTACACGCGGGAAGGAATCCGATTGAACTAAGAAGACAGAATTGGCGCGACTCGATCATAAAAAGTCACGACAAAGTCACGAGAGATCGACTAAGTCATGACTTCGATCGGACTTCACACGTCAATTTTGTCATAACAAGATCAATAAGGAAATTCCGTCGCGAGACGTAGATTTAAGGTGTATCGTGTACTAAGGAAAAGTACAGGTCTACATAGGTACAGAAACAAGGGAGGCTTGGAACATAATAGCCTGTCTCTCTACCACAGTAAAATCAAAGTCAGGATGATCAACATGATCAACGAGGAACTGAACAGCCCAAGGGTCGGAAATCAAGGACAAGTGTCCTACAAATCCGTCGCGACGAAAGTTCTTGGCCTCAGGGTTGGCCGCTTTATCGAACGCCATAAAAGCTTGAAGGGCATTGGCGTAGAACTGGATAAGACCCTCCTCGCGGTCTGAATTGATTACTGTTAGAACGACTCAAGAAAGAGTCAAGGGGAGACGCACCAGGACCGCAGAAATTATGGAGGTATTTCTCGCGCTCCATCTTGATGTGGCATACGAATTCAGAGCGTTCTGCGAGAGGGCAGATATTTCCAGTAGTCGTGCACTCGAGACATGGTTTGCCCCAGCCTTCGTTTTGGCAAACCAATTTGAAGCGACGACAATTCGTGCACTTCCGAAAGAACTGGAGTAATGTTAGCCTCGTCGCAAAGAGGGAAATCTTGAAGAGAACATACGCCATTAAGCGCGAGCATCTTCATATAGTTCAAGAAGTCTGGAGCGCGTTTATAGGCAGCAGGATGGGCCATAGGCCAGCAACCAGGCGAAGTAGTAGCGTCGAAGATGTTGGGCGTATTGGGGGTGATCATGAAGGATTACAAGCCTAAGGAAAATCAAGTCGAGACAAAACTTAAATATGAGTGATCGTGTGAATCTTTTCTCAAAGGAGTACTCGGAACAATTGGACCGGTTGCTCCCTTGATGGGTCAAACGTCATCAATAATCAAACACGCGAGTTGGCGCGCTGATTATCTTGAGCGGCTAAAAATTGACTTAAGATAATCTCGATCTCACACTTTAAGTTTGCAGGCAATACCGTGTATTGTTCGGCCTGCGCGAACGCGCGTACAAAATACTATGGAATATCCACGGAATGTATTCATCGTGGAGAGCAGCGGTACATGTAAAAGAAAAATTTTAGCGCAAAAGATGCGCGCGACGGACGGCAGTAGCTATTTATAAATTTCTACTAAGACGCTGATAGACTGGCGTCGGTTCCATAGCTCAGTGGTAGAGCATCAGAACAATATCCAGACGGAAACTGGAGAGGTCCTGGGTTCGAATCCCAGTGGAATCACTCTTTTATCTTGTATTTTCAAAGCTGGCACGATCACATGCACATTATCTGGAGCCCACCGCGAGGGCAAACAAACAAAGAAATTTGTCCCTGTTTGCCCAAGCAAAACAAATTGAACTGTGTGATTGTAAAAGCGATGAAATCAAGTGATTGAGTGTTCTGATCACTGTTCTGTGTTGTGATCCAATTTGATAAGCAGTCCATTTCTGGCAGTTCGGGTCTGGTGGAGTCGTGTGAGCAGCTGTACAAGCGAGTGCACGCAATCCAGATAAGCTAGAACGGGAAAGTGGGTTGTTATCAACAATGTTCACAAGGGGAATAGTGTGACGGGGACGTCACATCTCTGAAAAAGGGGAGATGATAGACTGGCGTCGGTTCCATAGCTCAGTGGTAGAGCATCAGAACAATATCCAGACGGAAACTGGAGAGGTCCTGGGTTCGAATCCCAGTGGAATCACTCTTTTATCTTGTATTTTCAAAGCTGGCACGATCACATGCACATTAACGCGTTAAAGGGAAAAGAAATGAAGAAAGGAAAACGGGACTTACGCGAAAATTCACCAACGCGACTAGTTCTCGTCCTCCTTCATCCCCTTGTTCCTGCGCGGCGAAATCCGGATGGGACCACGAGAAGAACCAGCGCCGGGGTCAGAGACGGGACCCTGCGCGCGACGATGAGAACGGCGCGACTCTTCAGCAGCGTGAGCCAACTCCTCGACATCCTCCTCGTCGTCTTCGACGTTGATTGGAGAAGAATGTCCGGAAACTTCGGCCTCTGGCGCGAGAAGGTTTACACCTTCTCCCCAGGCACGCATCACCGCCTCGCGGTTCTCATCCGACAAATCCTCGAGCCCCGGCACGTTCTCTGGGCCGTATGCGGTTATATTCTCGCGAAGGCGAGCCCCAACGGTCGCCCCAAGCGAGATCACCAGCTCACGCGCCTTGAGGAACGGTTTTCGAAGGCCCTCGTAGATCTCAAACGCGTCCGAAAACGCGTCGATCTCCGAGTTTACGCCTGAGGATTGGGTCAGAAATGACAAATAAAGGAATTTAAAGGGAACAACATACGGTTCATCGATAATCTTGAATATGGTTCGAGGGCGCGAGCCAAACCCTTCTGCTCCTTAGCGGTGAAGCTATGATTGCAGTGGGAACCATGCTTCTTGGCGCAGTTGTCACAGCGAACGAACATGCCGTGTTCGCAGTCGCGGGTGCTCTGAAGGCAGGGGAGGCAAGGGCCGTTGAGCTAAGAGTAATTAAGGATTAGCGCGAGTTGAAAACGATTAAATAGAAGAACTTACCAAGAGATTATCCGACTTGGCTAGAGTCAGGACGTTCGAGAGTTTTTCGACCTTGATCGGTTCGGCGCCGGCAGGAAGGAGAGGTCCAGTATTACCAGTACGATGAACGCGCGAGGATGGAGGAAAGAATGACTCTGGGTTCTTGGCAATAAGCTTGCCGTCCGAGAGAATTACAGTCTCCTCAGGAACGGCAGCGGCCTTGCCGCGTCCCCTCTTCGAGGGAGACGGAGTGGACGTGCTGCCGCGAGCCGACATCTTCTGACGTTTTTGAGGGCGGTCGTTATCTGAAAGCTCGTCTTCACCATCGGAGGCCTCGAGATCGGCAGGTGGTGACGAAGCGGTTTCTGCGGGACCGTTTGGGAAGTCCAAACCAACCTCGACGGACTCAGCGCGATCGCGCGAGGACATGTTGATTTGAGGACGCTGGAGAAGTTTAGATTAGATAAGAAAATTTGATCGGAAACGGGATCTGCAAGATCTACTCACGGTTGAAACCAGCGAGGAGGAGCGCTTTTTAGGATTACGGGGAGCGTCGTCCTGAGGCGAGGAAATCTCTGTCTCCACTGGAGGAACAGAGAATTGGCGCGCAGGAACGGCGGATTTCTAAGAAGAAATTAAAACATGATAAAAACGGGGACGTAGAAAATTAACGAACCTTTAGGATCGACCTGGGGGTTCCAGAAGTGGAACCAGGACGAGGGAGCGCTGGGACCACCACGACAACGGGAGGTTGAGGCACCTGCAATAAAAGGGGGTCCTCCTCGACCGGAGCATGGTCGGACACCGGGGAATCCGAAGGTAGAAAGAGAGGTTCTTTCTCCGAGGCGCGAAGGAGCTCGTCTTTCTGGATCTTCAAGTTCATAGCTATCGACGCGGGCGAAGGCGGCTCAGGATGAGCGGAAGAATGACGGGAACGACCTTTGCTGCGTTTGGTGGGAGTAGCTGGTGGACTAGGGGGTTTGGCTTCACGGCGCGCCTCGTCGCAATGAAAGATCCAGGCATCCGCGATAGGGTCGCCGTGATCCTTCAGGTTGAGCAGTGGAAACGGTTCACGGCTATAACCAAACTTCGTGGTAGGGAACCGGAAACCGACGGGCAAGAATTCGGTCATCTAAAAGGGAAAAGGGAATAAGTTGGCGTAGAGAAAAACCTGGAGAGACATACCTGAGCGGGGCGTGCCTTAAAACAGTACTTCCAACCATAGGGGTGATGGTCCTCGGGAACGATGTCTATGAGAGAAAGCATCGTGTTAGTAAAGCGGCGGGTGAAGGGCGTGTCCTTGTTGATGTGTTCGATAATCTCGAGCTAGAAAAAGGTGGCATGAGTATCAAAATCTAGGAATCGAGATGTCAAACTCACGAAATCGGGGGCAGCCCTGTCGAGTACTTTGACAACGCGGGGAAGGTCGTCGTCGGCCACGGGAACGTTTTCAGCACGGAGAGGGACGAGTTCGTCGTGAAGGAGGCACAGCTCGTCCAGCTCCTCGGTTCTAGCCTCGAAGAGGAGGTTGTGTTCAGCCGGAGAGAACAAAGGGTCTTCGATAAGATGATCTCGGTAATGATTGAAGGAGTGTGCAAACTGGAAGTTCATTGGGAGAGTCCCCTCCTAAATAACGGTTTCAGGAGCGGAATATAGAAATAGGCACAACACTCACTTTAATCCACGGGCGTTGAGTATCGTCGCGAAGAGAGGCGGGAAGCAAAAACTTGGACTCGATTGGAAGCGTCACAAGTTTGTTGACGCGACCGATCTCGACAACCTGCGCGATACCGCACAAAACCCTACGCAAGAGCGGCGTCAAGGGCACGGAGTTGAAGTGATTTTCGCGGAAGTTGGTCTGAGAAAGAGCGAATGAGCTTCCAAAAGCAAAGGGGAACAAAAGAGAATAGACGACTTACTAGGACGGGACGAATGTCGTCGGTAATAGCTTGCAAGAAAGCCGGACTAGCGCGAAGAATGCGACTACGGTCCTTGAGGAAACCCAAGAAGCGGATGACCGTTGGGTGCTCGAGGTAAGCTAGGGCTTCGAGGTCGTCTTTCGAAAGAGGAAGCGGTGGGCCAGCCTCGGCAGAGTGTAGAGGATAGTACGGTGTCTTAGGCGGAGTCTTGACGTGATCTTCGGTGATTAAAAGAGGAGGGGAGCTCGCGCCGTAAGACGGTGGGAGGCCGAACTTCCTACGAGCCAGGTCGCGGATAGCAGGGAACTTGTCGGAGAGGTCCATGGTGGTGGAAAGGAAGAGAGAAAAAGATGGGAATTTGTCCTTAGTTGCGCAGCCAATACAGTCGCGCACGGACCATCTCCCACGGAAATGATAAGCTCTAAGAAGTCTCAAGCCCAGATTCTCACCGAATTTGCGCTGCTTCTTCGAAGCCGCGACAAATGAATATGTCGAGGAAAATTCCAAAACTGGCCTAGAAAAGGGCAAAATCAGCGCGGACGCATGTCAAACACGTGAATACTAGTCATCTCAATGACAATAAGGGCAGCAGTGGCTCTTAAGTAGCTCTACCTTGATAAAGAGTCGTTCCGCGTTGAAGGATAAAGAATTGGGATTAACCGAGACGAGGATTACCATAATAGTAACTAGATCAAAGTGAGAAATAGTTCCGCTCGGGTAACCTCAGGAGTGTCAGCCGTGACGTAATCAAACTTACGTCCTCGAGATTGGGATAGCGCGCGTGCAGAATCGAGCGGGGACGCTCGAGATTTATGAAATGGGGAGATGATAGACCTGGGATGAAAACACCCCGTGTTTTCTCAATTTTTGAACATGTTTAATATTATATAACGCGTGTTTGAACTAAGAGGAATATATGGACATCTCTTGGAATATATCTCAGAGGGTTAAAGCGTACCCGCGCTGTTAACTAAATGATGCAAGGAAAGCTAGACTTGTCTACGACTTATGATTATCCAGAAATGGGTACTCGTACACGGTAGTCGAGGATATCAATCCCTCTTCTAAGTCTAACCATTCTACCAATTGAATTGGGACCTAAGGGGACATCAAGGAACATGGGATAACATTGGAGGAATACTTAGGCAGCGCGTCTAGACCAAGATCAAGGGATTCGAGTCACGGAACGACGAACCAAGGGAGACCGAGTAGCGGCAGAAGGATTGCCGAAGATGCCGAAGAGCGGATCATCATAGGATCAATGATCTTGAGGAGATTTCTCTACTCAGGGCGAATTAGAAGTTCTGGCAAGGACCGGAAGGACCTTACCTCGAGGCGAGGCACGTAGCAGGAACATTCGTATCCTCGAAAGGCTAGCCGCGATGAGTGGGATAGAAGCCAGTATCGAGTCAAGGATCGGAGGATCCATCACGCACACGTGACCATCACGAGGGATCGACGCGATAAATGCGATAGTGACTCCTCGTGTACTTACACGTTACTCGCGCGTGCAACCACGACACACAGGTGTGACTTAACAGCCTCGTCTGCTAAATAAGGACAATACACGTACCAGGACACGTAGGTAGATACCCAATTAAGATGTAAATATTTATTCGAGCGTAGTATATAAAGCCTGTAAATTATTAGCTGGGCTCCAGTGGATTGCTCCCTCCTTGATTGTACGTGTAAGCTATCAGCCGCACGTTCAGTAAGAAGTGTTCACATCCAGTGGGACAACCCAGGGAACTTAACTAGTTTTCTGTTTTGTTTTCAATCTATAAATTGGACTTGTGATTTGATCAGAGATTTGTTAAACGCGTGAACTAAGTGAACTTGAACGGGAATCAGACGCGTGAAACGGAATTCTGAGATAAAGGAAAACGCGAGTACAAGGGATTAAGCGCGACTTAACAGTCAAGTGCCATATTCCATCGGATTGAAAGGAAACTCGAACAAGATAAATTACCTAGACTCCTACAACCAACCGACATTGCGAAAAACTAAGTCCTGAGTTCGAAAGGCTCAAATAGGATTGAGTCGCGCCAACTCAAAGCAAGTTTAATCGAGTCAAGACACCTTGAATTGTATAACATATATCCTCGGATTGAGGAATATAGTCAGATTGCCACAGTAGATACGTTACTGGAACCCCGACTCGCACGCGAAGCTGAAGTTGTGTGGATTTTGTTTGAAGGGATTTATTATCTCTACGAATAAAGTTATACAGTAAACCAATAGCAAGCGTTTCACCGTCT